GTAGTAACCAAGCTGTATTTGGGTAAAAAAAAATAAAAAATTTTGAGCAGACTAAAGACACAATCTAACTCATTCAAATCTTGGTTCAAAAGAAAGAAATGACGCTAGGTACATTAGAAAGGCTTAGAAAACCACTAGGGGACATTCTGAGCTTCTGATTAGTTATTCATGTCATGTATAGAAGTAAGTGTTCATAAGGAAGCTTTTCTAAAAATGGGACGAGGTGAGTGGGGTGCCACTATGTTTCATTTATTACATGAGCAATATCTTAGCAAATAGAAAAAAATAAAAACTTCTTATTTTACATTCTAGCTTGTCAATATCTGTAATTTGAGTTTCTGATTTGTATGAAACTATAGATTTAGTATTTTGACTTCACAAATATCTAATTTGAACCAGTTCTGCTACAACATACCACGTGACATACAAAAATCGATGTTTATCAGTGTTTTTAATATTTACTTTTAAATTAACAAATTGAGTAATATATAGTTCTAAAATTTGAATTTTAATCTACAGTTTGATACCAAACTAATTGATATAAATATATGAAATAGTAGTTCAATAAAATTTCTAATGTGAGGCAACAAACGAGATGACATAGACTTTCACCTGTGACCCGTTTCGAAAGGGTTAAGATAGCATACCATCATTAAAGTAAGTGAATCCTTGTCACATCTCAAAAGGCACACAAAGATGTTGCTTAACTCCAGTTTCCCGTGACACAAGTGAATAGAGAATGGTGAAACATTTTCCTTGGATGGAATACCAGTCAATTGTAAGTTAACCTTTAGCTACCTGCTGTTACCTAGAACACAGCTGAGTAGACTACAGAATTTGGGGTAAAATGTTTTGCTCAAGGACACAACAAAATGTTGTGGGCAAGCTCAGACCTGCAACATTTTGATTTTTGAGTTCAAAGCACTAACAGTTGGACCATGTTAATCTCCATTAGTAAAGTGCTGTTTGTAAAAGCAGCTTGCAGTTAATGTGCCTGGAGGAGATGCACTTCAGAACAGCTTGCAGTCAACGTGTACTGAGGATATGCATCTCAGAACAGCTTGTAGTCAACATGTCCTGAGCAGATAGATCTCAGAACAGATTGCAGTAAACATGCTTGGAGGAGATGCACTTCAGAACAGCTTGCAGTCAATGTGCCCTGAGGAGGTATATCTCAAAGCAGCTTGCAGTCAATGTGCCCTAAGGAGATGCATCTCAAAGCAGCTTGCAGTCAATGTGCCCTGAGGAGATGCATCTCAAAGCAGCTTGCAGTCAACGTGCCCTGAGGAGATGCATCTCAAAGCAGCTTGCAGTCAACGTGCCCTGAGGAGATACACTT